AAAAAGAATTGGAACCATTCTACAGAAGGAAGGATGAACTTACATTACAGGATGGTTGCCTTCTGTGGGGCTCTCGAGTGATAATTCCACCTAAGTACCGAACACAGTTGTTAGAACAACTTCATGAAGGCCACCCCGGAATCGTAAGGATGAAGGCGTTGGCTAGGAGCTACATTTGGTGGCCAGGAATGGACAAGGAGGTCGAACAAACAGCAAAAGGATGCACTGGCTGTCAACTCACTCAGAAAAATCCTAAGACCGCCCCACTTCATACTTGGGAGTGGCCAGCACGCCCATGGCAACGTATCCACATAGATTTTTCGGGACCATTCTTGGGAACAATGTTTCTCATTGTCGTGGATAGCCACTCAAAATGGCCCGAAGTAATAGCAATGACTACTACAAACGCTGCAAGAACAATTGAGGAACTAAGAAAGCTGTTTGCGACAAACGGATTACCAGAACAACTGGTTAGTCATAACGGCCCACAATTCACATCGGACGAATTCAGAACATTCATGAGGAATAATGGTATCAAACACAGAAGGTCAGCGCCGTAACACCCAGCTACAAATGGAAACGCTGAACGTTTTGTACAGACATTCAAGCAAGCTCTACGCGCAGCACTGGCTGAGAAGAAAAACCTCTCCTGGAAGCTGACAAACTTCTTGCTAGCCTGCAGAACGATACCACATGCGCTGACTGGAGAGGCACCAGCAGTAGTCCTCATGGGAAGAAACCTAAGAACGAAACTCGACATACTGAAGCCTAACATACGGAAGCGAGGGGAAGAAAAGCAGCAAGACCAAGGGTTACGATCCAGCCACAACCCTACCAGTCAGTTCCCCGTAGGTCAAGCCGTCGTGGCTCGAAACTACCGAACTGGAGATAAGTGGGTTCCTGGTATCATCACAGCTCACCTTGGACTCTTATCCTACGAAGTCAGAGACGGACCAAATACAGTAAGGCGACGACATATCGATCAACTCAAGGAGACTGCAGTAACTCCGAGCGTTAATAAGGAGTACTACACCCCACACCTAGACCTAGCTGTGTTAGTAGGAATTCCACTAGCGACATGCGGCGTCGGAAGTGAAGAACCACAACCTCCTTCTGCAAATGATATGGAGAAATTACCAACCATAAACATAGATGTGACCAACCAACCGACCAACTCTCCTAGCAGCCAGAACTAGAACATGACTAGCCGTTCAGCAACACCACCACTTAGGCGCCATCCCCGTCGGCTGCGGAAACCCCCTGAAAAACTAAACCAATAATCTGAACTGAACTGAACTCATATATTTTAGATTAGTTCTGAATTTTGAGGGGAAGAATGCTATGTCGGGCATGCCGGCCCATGGTATCTGTCACAGGCACACGCATGCCATGTGCTTACCTAGTAGATTTTAGAACTGCCATGTTGAAAATATAGACGTTGAGTTTGTATTGAGTTGTAGTTTTCGTCTGACTTAAATCCGCGAAACACAACATTCAAGGCGAGCGATTTTACACTAAGTTTTCTTGGTGAGTCTTCGTGATAGCGTTTTAGTTTCTGCTGGTTTGTTTAGCAAACAGTTGTTCTATGGAAAGTTACGTTTATTAGTTCGCCCGGCAATTAGATCTGCCAAGACCACTGGGGACAGAGCTTTTTCGGTAACTGCCCCATTTTTGGAACTCTCTTCCGGAAAGCCTAAGGGCTGTAAGTAGCGTAAATATTTTAACAAACAACTGAAAACGTGTCTTTTTAAACAAGCACACTGTTAATT